TGAACAGACTTGTTTCCACTGAAAACTGAGACTATATACACCTTTTATTGTTCAAGAACAACTTGGCTATTTGTGTTCTCTGATAACAAAACAATTGAGTCAGATGTCCAAAATATCAACTAACAATGGTTCAGTGGCAACATGTCTGACTAATCATGTTGTGTCAAGGATAACAGCCCCTGAAAAATTCAACCAGGATACTAAAAGTAGGAAGAGAGAACTGCAAAACTGTGTAATACCCTCAACATGTATTGACCATGGATAGTGAAAATTTAGCCTATATTAATGCAATAAAGAAGAGCTATTTTGAACAGGCATCCATCTTCCAGTCTAGAAATGGATGGTTTGAATACAGAAATGGATAATAAAATATTTATGCAGCATAATTTTCACAGGCATTAGTTCACACAGCTATCAGTATGATATGTTATATACTGAATAATTTACAATCTGAATAAGACAAATACAAATCAAGACATAGGACAATAGTTCATAACAGGAACTGTGTAACAATTACTGCTGAAGAGAAGGAAAGAGAAGCTGCTTGAAGTGCCTTTGAGAGATCCTGGAGAAGTGAAGAAAGTGGATGCCAAGACTTCAACCAGGTCAGAATCTCACCCAAAGCATTCTAAGCAGAGGGAGCATGAAAGGTGGCATGAGGAAGAGAAGGGGAACCAGAAGGAAAGTGTGTTGAACAAGAAAGGACACAAGGAAAAAAATAGGGCAGAGATTACAATGGGCCTGAGTAGGTGTGGATAAGAAGGTTGTATCTGATGTGGTAAAGGTTTAGGAAAATTACTTTTCCTCCCCAACATGCTTTATGGCAGATTGCAGTCAAAATTTGAAATTCTCTCAGAGCTACTGAAAAAGATGCTCTTCTGTTTCACATTTCAGATGCAAGCGCTCCTGGACACCACAATTAGTTTTGTTTGTTTGCTTGTTTTAAAGTTTTCCTTATAATCAAATGCATGCTTAAAATATAAAATAAGATCACAGGCAGCATTTGACCACAAACTGGCCTTCTCTGAGCTGTGGGAAAATGTAACGTTAGAGATTTGATTTGGCATTAAAGTTTACTTGGAGGTTGCTTTGTAGTAGTGTTTCAACATCTGTTTTTATTCAAGTCACTTGTTTCTACAGAAAAGGCAATGATCTTTTTAAAATAATTGAATAAATATC